GCTTTCTGGGGCGATCTCTATTCAGTAGCAATCCTACTAAGTGGTGTGAAGCCAGAAGAAATTCCACGAAAGGTAGAGGTACGAACAGAGGGGAGCTTTGTCTCTGTGTGGTTAGCTTCTTCCATTGAAGCAGGGCTGTGGAAGGAGGTTCGTTTGGTAGGAGAGGAGGAGGAAGAAGAAGCACTACGTGGCCTTGTGAGATTGGGTAATTCAAATGGGAAGGGATGTTTCACYAAAAAGGGCCAACAAATTCTGGGAAGCCAAAAAGTCCCAACAGTTGGAAGGTCAAACCTGGAGAAAGCAAGAAGAGGTTATGACAAATGGCAGATCCTTTGCGCAGGTGGTGTCAGGGGAAAAAAACAAAAAGCTTCTAGTGTTGAAAGGGAGAAGGCCGAACCAGCAATTTTAGATAGGGAAGGTTGCTGGTTCGACCATTAAAACAGGGGGGTGTGACTTTTTAAGTGGTCACGTGGGACGAAAAGAAGGGCCCAATCGAGTGGATCCCAGTTATGGTGGGCCGGAGAAGGCTTCTCAAGTAAAGGAATTGGGCTACTATAGTCTTGAGCCCAAGGCCCATTATAAGACAGATGGGCCGAGGGACACGTTAAGTAAACACGTGACTGGGAGGAGGGATGAGTTGATAGACGAGATAAAGCGTCTATCTTCTTCAACCCCGAACCCTTCCTCTCGACCGAACAGATCAGGCGCAAAAAAGTCTCAAGACTCGCAGTCTCGAGGTTCTCTACAGTGGGTCCCTTCCAACCTGGCGAACCGTCTGTCACCAGATAGGCGCAACCCGAGATACCTGAAGCCCAGTGATGAGAACAGAACAGGGCCTGAAGATTGGTTGAGTGAACAAAATAGCAATGACAATTTTGATAGAGACGAAACGCTAAGTCTGGGAAGTTTGTCTCCAAAAAGCAACAAGGATCTTCTTGAAACAGAAAGTTTGTATATAGAGTTGTTGTTTTTAGAGGAAGAGACTGAAGAGGCAGGTGGCGGAAAGACTCCTCCTCCCTTCGTCGAGGAAGTGATTGGTTCTAAAGCTGTGAAAACTCCTCCTCCCTTCGTCGAGGGAGCTGACCCTGAGTCTAATGAATTACAGGATGTTGGTGGAGAGGGACAAGAATCGGCCGTGAGGATGGATGCGGGTATTCTAGTGTCGGAAACACAGAGAAAGGTTTTCCAAGTGGGTAGGTCGTCAGGA